CCTGCCTGGCCCCCCACACCCATGAAGAAGCTCTGACATGTCAAAGGGTCTCAACTCTGGGGGAACACTATGACCTAGGGAGCCATAACCTGTCACAGCAAACTTGAGTCCCCACACAAACTCCAGACACATCTTCTTACACCCATGATGGACAAGCTGGCTAGACTCCAGATTTCTTCCTGGGATTTTTTTCTTGCTCAGTCAAATGGTGCTTTAAAAATATTTTTTAAAGGGGACCCTCTAAACCTTCTTTTAAAATGTTTTATATTTATTTACTTATATAATATTTTATTGTATATATAAATACAAATATGTTAAGTTTTATTTTTACTTCTTTATTTTAGCTGCTTTGTACCTGAAGAGATTTACAGAGAAAGGAAATATTCCTTGGCCTCTTGATTGTCATAAAACTCAAAGGGGACAATTACCTAATGTTTCTAGCTTGTCAGAGTCTTGTTCTTGAGGAAGGAAAAGGCAGCCAGACTGGAGGGAGGGGAAAAAGTAAAGTGGTTGGTACGTTTCATAAAGGTACAAAGGTAGGTGTGGTCTAGAAGAAAGGCAGAGAACTGAGAGTCACGATATCCCCTTTCTGCCCGCCCTCAGCCACTGGGGGACCACGTGACCTTGAATGGAAGTTTTCACTTCTCAATGACACTGTGCCCTCCTTAGAAAAACAGCCCAAATAACACCTGCACTTTCTCAAACCCGCAGGGTAGTTGTGTTCGAGGAAGTCAATCTGAAAGACCTATAGAATGGAGATATTAGTGTGATAATAATAATGCCTCCTTTTGGTGGAAGAATTGTTGCAGTGTTTAATTCATCCATTCACTCTGTTAGAAGGAGGCCGCCTGACCAGCTAACATTTCCCAAGTGCTCACTCTGTTCCTGCTGCTGAGCTAAGCTTTCCACATGCCCTCCTGTTATATAATTCTCAGGATAAATCCCTGAGGGCAGGAACTGTTAATCATTAGCACCTTTTTACAGATTAGGAAACTGAGGCTCAGAGAGGTTAAGTAATATGCTTATTTCTCTACAGCTAGTAAGTGGCAGGTGACGGATTTGAGCCCATAGCTCATACTTAGCCTAGGATTCCACTTCAGTACAAATGCCTTACTCTTTTCACTTTGCTTCCAGAATGTCAAACAGAAAATGACAATGCACATCTTTTGCTTACCGAGAGGCAGGGCTTGGGGTGTGGGTAGTCAGAGCCTGCATTCCCAAAGCCAGGTTCTCCTGCAGCCGTCCTGCGTTTGTCGGGCCCAACTCCTCTTGCTCAGGCTCTACGGTCATCTCAGCCGTGGGCCGTGGTGGGGCCTAAAGCCCTTCTCGGAAGTAAATTGCCTGTTAGCCCAATGTTATTACATGTCTCGGTGACTCCAGGCCACTGCATTGGAGTTTGTTGTGAAGACACCAAATTTAAATATGCCATGGAGACCCCACGCTGAGAGGTGGCAGCTGTGTCTGGCAAATGGCGCTCCCAGAACACTGTTCATTTTTAAATATTTTATTAATTTCTCTTTCAGAATGACAAAATGGCCACGTGTTCATAGACTTAGAAGGCTGCATAACAGGCAGGACACTCGGGCCAGAAAAGAACTCAATTTCCACGTATACCTCTGTTAAAATCTCCAGGACATTTTCTCTTTCTGATGGACGTGGAGTTGGCAGTGACTTTCAGCACTGGAGTTAAAAACATCTGATTTCCTTCTGCCTTAGGCAGTGCGTGATCTACAAACACACAGAGAAATCCATTAGAGAAGCTGTATTTACCAGGGGAGCAGAAAGGTGGTATTAAGGAAATAAAGACTCCTAACCTACTGGCTCTGCAGGCTGTTCACTTACGATTCTCTTCAAGGGAAGCGCAGGGTTATTGTGTTAAAGCAGGAAACCTGTCTGCAGAGCCCAGAAGAAACCCATTACAGGAGAAAGGTCCCGGCAAGTAGGAGTCAGGAAAGGTAAGGAAGGGAAGGTAGATTAGAACTGGGAGTGCATACGGAGCGTGGGGGGCTTTATGGGAAATTTCAACATTTATAAAATTGGATATTTTAGTAGGTATTTCTAAAAGATAAGAACTCCTTTAAAACATAAACTCAATATTATTATCACATCTCAAAACTAACACTATATCCTTAATATGATCAAATATCTGAGTCAGTATTACATTTTCCAATTTTCTTATAAATGTGATAATTTAATATGTGTGATGGTTTGTTAGGATCCAGATAAGGGCTTATCATCTATAGCTTCCCCCTCCATCTCTCTTTTTTTTTTCCTTGCAATTTATTTGTCGAAGGCACTGAGTCATTTGTCTAGCAGAGTTTCCCATAGATTATATTTTACTGATTGCATCACTGTGGTGTATTTTTATGTGTTCTGCTGTCTTCTCTGTTTCCTGTCAGTTGGTATCAAAGACTTGGTGAGATTCGAGTTTTTTGTTTTGGCTCCAGCATTCCTCATAAAGTAATGATGTGTTTTTCCATCAGGAGACGCATAATGTCGGAGTCTTCATTTAGTAACAATTGATGGTCAGCACCTATATCCATTTGTTTATTAGGGGTTGGGAAAACGGGAATATTTTAATTCTGTCACTATTTCTGGAGAAAAAGAACTTCATAGAGGGAAACATCTCTGTCTTCTGCAACTTGGTTTTCTAGCAGTATAGTTTGTATGGGAAAGATGGGTTAAGTGTTTGCTTCTTCCCTTTATTTGTTGATTTTCAACATAAATGTTGGTTCACAGGCGTCCTCCAACAGTAATAAATAAAATCCAAAGTTTTATTAAGTGTCTTTATGATCTCATGGATTGAAACATATTTGATATTGTTTCAAGTCCACTGAGTTATGCTAAGTGGTGCGCACATCACCCCATCTTTGGCCAGTGGAAGCTGCCTCAAGTTGGCTCCTGGGTCCCTTTGACACAACCCTGGTAATCACAGATAGATGGCTGCTTCTTGGCCTTTTTTATAGGACAAACCTAGGCTCCACCCCTTGCCAGCACTTGACCTTGTGCAACTACTCATGCAGTTACTGTTTGCTCATCTGTAAATTGGGAATAATCATAGTACCTACCTTTATAGGGTTGATGCAAGATTAAAATAGTCAAATGTTTGGCAGAGTGTCTAACACAGAGTAAGGGCTAAAAAATGTTTAGTTTTATTATTGCTGTTATTATTTGAATTAATGAAGAGCATTATCAGGGCTTTGGAGCTTACAGATCATTATGCCCCATAAAATCATTAGCTCCTCCTGCAAAATGGACTTAATATTAATGTAAGAAAGAAGGCCGTATTTTCTGTGGATTGGCAAATGGTTTTGCTGTAAAACTGAATGCCACACTTAGAATTCAGAAGAGAAGAGAGAAGAGGGAGAAGCATAGGTGTTGGGAGGGCCTGAAACCACCCAGTGAGGCCAGGTGCCTGCAGAAGCAGAGGGGGAAATCACTTCTGAGCTCCCTGTGCCCTCATGGGATGTGACCTTGGCTGCCCTAATGCAAGACAGGGCCCAGTGTTGAGAACTCAGTGAAGTGTGAATCATAGCTGCTCAGCCCCATCTGCCTTCCCAGCCGTAGGCCTAACAGAGACACTAGTTTAGGAGCAGCAAGCCGTTGGGTACACTCCAGCTGTCTCAGCCCCTGGCCCCCTTCTCCCCATTTCCTAGTGAAGGAGGTCAGTTCTCTGATGCTCATAGTATTCCTGCCCTTAAGCACATCTCACACCGCCCTGTGATTGGGGGTGGGGAGGGAGGGGTTCCCTGGCGGCACAGTGGGCCTTCTCTTTATTTCCTAATTCAAATGTGCTAAAGGGTTAGCTTGTTATTAATCTTCTTGTAAAACTCAGCTCTTAGATTTTTGTCCACCTGGTCTGCTGTTTTGGTTTTCTTTGTTCCTTGTTTCATGTATGTCTGCTTTTGTATTATCAATCCCTACATTCTCATTTCTTTGGGTTGATTTTTATGCTTTCTTTAGATTTGGAATGGAAAATTCAGTTCATTTAGTTCCACTTTCCTATTTTTTTGCTAATGCATTTAGGACGTTTATTTATGCTCTCTCTCTTTCAGTTCTATATTCTATAATTTCTGTTTGAATTCCTCTTTAGCTATAAATAACCTTGAAGTGTGTTTTTATACATTTCCATAAATATGGGGTGTTTGGGGCTGTTATTTTGCATACTGACTTCTGATTTTATCACACTGTGACCAGTGAATGTGACTTCTGGGAGACTGTGTTTGGGAGAACTTGATGGCCTAAGTCATGGTCAGTTTTTATTAACATTTCACTTTTGCTAAGTTGGGTAACTGTGCTGTTCAGATCTTCTTCAGCTTCCCTGCCTGTAAGTCCTCATTGAAGCCACTGCACTCTGCTAGCACCCAGACACAAAAATCTCCACTCAGGGCTGATTTGTTTGGTGCGGCTCACAAAACACACACAGGCCAGTGGCTGGCTCTTCCATTGTTGCAAATAAGGTTAATATTGCTGGAGTCTGAATTCTTTTAGCTCAGCTGAATTAGCTGGTACAACCTAGGCTCTGGTTTCAAGTGGATAATCTTGGCTGTTGCAGTCACGGATATTGGTGCTGAGCAATCATTTAAGCGGAGAACTGATAAATTTTCTCATGAAGAACAGTGGGCTGACCGTGGCCTGTGTCCTAGCATCAGGCATTATTCGAGGTCCTTTGCCCTTGGTTGTGTGGATATCACATAACGTCTCTGAGCCTTGTTTCTTTATCAGCTCTGTGGATATGATACCACCTAGCATGCTGATCACAGAGGGTTGTGGTGTGACTCAGCTGAGATCATAGACATAAAAGTACTTTGTAAACTATGAAGAGATCCTCAAATATCAGCTGCAGGTTGAGGGCACCTTGTGAAGAAATAGCAAGTATGGTCCCAATGCATGTTAATTCCCTGTATCCTCTGGAAGGAGCCTGGACAGGGTGAGACTGAGAGAAGCGTTTGGAGGCCCCTGAAATTCTTCATGGTGCTTCTCTTCCTTTCCCTCAGTGCGGGATACGGAAACTGCAGCCATGACCACCCACGTCACCCTGGAAGATGCCCTGTCCAACGTGGACCTGCTGGAGGAACTGCCCCTCCCTGACCAGCAGCCATGCATCGAGCCTCCGCCTTCCTCCATCATGTACCAGGTAAACTCTCCCAAGGCTCCGGGGGCTCAGGAGCTCTGGGGATCCCCTAAGAGGGTTTGCCCTGAAGGCAGAGGGAAGGGGGAGGTCTGCATCTAGAAGGTGGAAGGTCGTGAGCTGATGGAGTCCCCGGCGCCCTGGAGGAGCTGAGTGTAAGGAATAGATTAGCTGGTAAATGTACACCAGAGCTATTCCTGCTCCCCGGGGAAGGCTTGTTGATCTGCTCTGACCCCAAATACCTTCCCGGCTGTTCTTGCTGCAGCACCAACCAGGGCTTTGGCAGCTCTGACCTCATGAATTAAATATTGAAATTTAGAAACCCCTAGAGCCTGCCTGGGTAATTACTTTTCCTTCATGTATGTGAGAAGAGCTCTTCAACTCCCCACAGCAGCTAATGGCTCAGGGAAGTCCGTCACAGTTGTTTGCTTTTGTCCAAGACAGCGAGTTTGTGCTAAACCATGATCAGGTGACTCAAAACCGTGATCACCGGGGCCTGGGGGGAAGGGCACCGTGCAGCCGGATTCTGCCCTGCAGTAACCCCTGGTCGGGGTGTGCAGGGTGAGCATGCCGCGCTAAGAAAGAATAAATTAATTTGAAATTCTTAGCTGTATTTGACCTTTTGAAAGTTCCTAGACTGTTAAATGAGACTAAATATAGTGCATAATATATTTTTAATTTCGTTCACTGGTTAGATTTATGAAGCACATGCCTGGAGTTCAACTCATAAACTGTTTATTCACATTTTCTAACCCAGATTAAAATTTTAATTATATATATATTTTTATTATAAGCAATACAGAAAAATATAATAAATAAAAATTTCCTTGTAACTATGTCTATACACACACACATTTTTAACATATATGTATATATATTTTAATATAATAAAGGACTCATACTATATATATTGCTCTATGATTTGACTTTTTTAACTTAAAATTTATTTAGGATTTTTCCCCCTACCATATTACAGTGCTACCACAGTATTTGTAACCACCATGTGTTACGTATAAGTCCATTGTATGGCTATACTATGATCTATTTAGCCTTTCAGTGTTAATGGACATTTGAATGATTTCCAGCTTTTTTCTATCACAAAAAAATGCTGCAGTTGCTATCCTCGTGCATATGTATCTGCACCTCAGGTGAGTATTTGTGCAGCTGCTGAAGGAAAGCAGTGCACATCCTAACTTTCCACAGCTATTAGCTGTGGAGAGCGTAAGTCAGCATTTTCTCCCGGGCGCCCAGCTGGGCCAACCTGATGGGAAGCGGAAGTGGGCTCTGCCTGTAGGTGGCTCCTGCCAAGTGTGGCCCAGAGTGGAGAAGATGACAGGGTGATGTGGACATAGCTTTCTGCAGAGATATGGAGGCATTTGTTGGCAGCAGTGTGTTCCCTGGGCACCCAGCCACGTTGGACCTGTTTTCCAATAACGAAATGTTCCCATCCTCCAATTCCCACAGGCTAACTTTGACACGAACTTCGAGGACAGGAATGCATTTGTCACAGGCATTGCAAGGTACATCGAACAGGCTACAGTCCACTCCAGCATGGTGAGTCTCTGACCCTGCCAGGGCGGGAAGGGCTGTGGGCAGCGATTCCAGGAACCCCCTGCTCAGTCAGACCCATCTCCTTAAGCCCATTCTCACACCTAGCCCACCCTGCTCAGTGTCTAGGGCCATGGCGATCCCGTATCTTCCAGCTTTGCAAATCCTGCTCACCTTTAGGGCCCGACTTCATCCCCACTCTTCACTTTCCTGAGCTTCAATAGCCTTCGGGTTAACATGTGATTTGATCCTGCCTTCTTTATACTTTATAGATTACTGGCTGTGTGGAATATTGTCTTTTGAGCAAAACAAAGGCTTCTCAGAAAAGGGACAGTGGTTTTGGAATAACATGTTGTTGACTCGAGGAAGCCGGTGGCCTAAATTGTTCCCAAGCGGGGCCAGCTGTCTAATGGGTCAGGTGTCTGACCCATCTGTGAGGTATCACCCCTTCCCTCTCGGGCTTTCGTGGATTTTATTCTCATGCAGCACCGAAATGTGAGGAATTCCAGATTCCTCATTCACAGGCCGTGCCTTCAGCTTCGTGAACCTTTCTTACTGTATCAGCTATACTCTAAAACCTGGTCTTACCATACCCTGCCCATTCATTTAATAAATAGTGTGCTCCTGGGACCTGCAGAGATTGTGCTATATGCCGGGCAGGGGAGATACAAGGATAAATAGAGGCCTGTCTTGATTCTTAGTGAGGCAAGTGGGAAATAGACAAGGTTACCGTTTATCAAACATGTTCTATGCAGATATTTTAAATGTATCATCTCAGTCCTTACCTAAACCCTGTGAGGTAGGTTCTATTACAGTACCCATTTTACAGATGAGAGAACTGAAGTCCAGAAAAGTTAAGTAAGTTACGTGGGGTCCTGCCACTGACAAGTGACAGCTCTACCCAGGTCTGTCTGACTATAAAATCTGTGCTCTAGGCTACTCTTTGTGGACCAATAAAAGTCCACAAAATTAATGGTAAATGACATGGTAAAAGTACAGAGTTCTTTGTTTTGAAGGGGCTTCGAATGTGTAGGAAAAAGCTTGATGAAGGAAGTAGCTTTTGAGGAGGGCCTTGTAATATAAATATGTGTACATATAAAATATGTAAATACACACACATTGCATTATAACCATATATATGGTAGTTTAAAATGTATAAGGTACATTCACACATAGTATCATTGGAGCTTTATAACAGCCCTGCAACTTGCAAAGAGATCATTATACCCATTTTAGGGATAAGAAAACTGATACCTAGAGAAGTTAATAAGCAAGTTGCTCATGATCCCACAGCTAGTAAATCACAGGGTTGCACCTGGAATCCAGGACTTAGCTTCCGAGTCCTGACTTCTTTCTGCTGAGCTCTGTTGTCCTGCATATTTAGAATTTTGCGTATCAGAGATGAGATGGGAAGCGCATCCCAGCTGGTGGAACCAACATGAGCAAGAGCATAGAGGCAAAAATTTTCAAGGACTGCCTGGGTTTGGAGTGTAAGGTACACATAAAGAAATCCCCTGGTATTTATGGAAAAATAGATAAGGGTCAGTGCATAGAAGGTGTATTTGTTTGATATACCACAGACTGGGTGGCTTAAATAACAGAAATTTATTTTCTCATGGTTCTGGAGGCTAGAAGTCCAATATCAAGCTGTCAGCAGGGTTGGTTTCTCCTGAGGCCTCTCTCCTTGGCTTGCAGACGGCCACTTTCTCACTGTCCTCCCATGGTCTGTCCTCTGTGCGCACACACGTGTATGGTGTCTCTGTGTCCAAATTTCTTCTCATTAAAAGGACACAGGGGAGATTGGATTAAGGCCCACCCTAAGGGACTCATTTTAACTTAATCACCTTATTAAAGGCCCTGTCACCAAATATAGTCCCATTCTGAGGTGCTGGGGTAAAGACTTCAACGTGTGAATTTTGGAGGGACACAATTCAGCCCATCATAGAGAGTTTTCATTCATTTAAGACAAAATCAAAAGCAATGGAAAATTTTTATCCGTGGGAGAAATATGAACAGAACTGTGTGTGGGGAGTAACTTTCACGTGTTAGTTATGTGTAGAATGAGTTGTGAGGCGGACAACTGAGATAAAGCTATCGCTGGGAGAAGGTTATCTGCATTGGCATACTAAAGGCTGAACGAGGGCGATGGCCTGAGGAACCGCTAAGGACGTGGGTCTGAGAGACCTTGGAGGTGAACTCCCCCTGGCTTACCAGTCACTAGAGGGAGTGGGACTACCCTGACTGCGGTCTCCTAAAGATACCAGGTCAGGGGCACCAATGGGTGAGTCAGAAGGAGGGGTCTGTTTGGAGGGGGATTGCAGTTTCTGTTTCTGCTATAACAGATTATCACAAACTTAGTGACCTAGATCAACACAAGTTTGTTTGCTTACAGTTCTTTCGGTTAGAAGTCTGCCATGGATCTCACAAGGTTAAAGTCAGGGTGTTGGCAGGGCTGTGGAGAGGACTGTTTCTTGGCTTTTTCCAGCTTCTGGAGGCGGCCCACCTTCCTTGGCTCAGCCCCTTCCAGCCAGCAATCTCTTCACTCCAAATCTCCACTTCCACCCTCACATCCCAGCTCTGACTGTCCTGCCTCCCTCTTTCACTTATTGGGACAGTTGTCATTACCTGGGGTCCACCAGATAATCCAGGACAACCTCCCTCTCCACCTCAAGGTTTCTGACTTAATTACATCAGTGAAGTCCCTTTTGCCGCGGAGGGTACTGTATTCACAGTTGGGGGATTAGGGTGCAGGCATCTTTGTGGGGCCACTATTCTGCCGACACCGGGATAGGGTTGATACGGTTTCAGGGGGTCAAGAATAGGGTGTACCGTTGACATTCATGATTGATGCCAAAACCTCACTTTCTGCCTTGTGCCTTGCTAAATCTCTCCCTAGGGTACCTTATCAGCGGCAAAGCGTCTGCATTCGATACGCACCTTCTTGTATTTCTCCTGCCTGCACTTGGTGAACCTCTCAAAGGGCGGGCTAGCTGGAGGGAAGAGGGGAGGCAGAGGAAGTACACGAACCATGTAATTGGCCAGCTACCTGGAACAGTCAGGGCTCTTTGCTGGAGGTGAGATAGGGGCTGAGTGTCCACAGTGAGCGCCCAGAGGTATAGTCTGTCACTACCAGTCCTGAAACTTGAGCTGAACTCACATTGGGTTTAAGTCATAGATGTACAGAATCTTACAAAAGTAAAGGGACCCTAGAGATCCTTGGTCCTGCAGCTGTCATCCTGGGCTCCCCACTGGATTCACCTGGAAGGTATTAAGAATCCTGATGCCCGGGCTCCCACCCCAGGGTTGATGGTTCAGTTCTGGAAGGTCATGGCCTGGGCATCTGGGGTTTTCTTTCTTTTTTTTTTAATATACCTTTATTGATTTCAGAGAGAGGAAAGAGAGGAAGAGAGAGAGAGATAGAAACATCAACGATGAGAGAGTCATTGATTGGCTGCCTCCTGCACGCCCCCAACTAGGGATCGAGCCCGCAACCCGGGCATGTGCCCTGACCGGGAATCGAACCCAATCGCCTGGATCCTAGGTCGATGCTCAACCGCTGGGCCATACCCGGCCAGGCCATCAGGGGTTTTCAAAGCTCCCCAGGTGACTAATGTGCAGTCAGGGGTGAGACAGTGATTTAGGCCACTCTTTACCTCCAAACATGGTAAAATGTGGGCCTGACAGAGCCAGGACCAGAAGTCAAATCTCCTGTGGCCCCACCAACGGCTCTTTTCACCATCCCATCCTGACCTCTATGTTCCAGGCATAGCTATACAACAAACCTGGCTGATGGTCATCTGCACTGTCCATGCGACAGAGTCCATAGACTTCTTGTCCATTGCCCTACTCCCAGCACGTAGCACAGGGCCTGGGACCCCTCAGTGCTCAGTCAAACATTCATTGGATGCCTGAGTTGGGACACACGCCTCCCAGTGGACAGCCTGGTGCTAACGAGTAGACCCTGTTCCTCACGTTACTGTCACTTCCCTTTTTTGACACGTGTTCTGAAGTAACTACAGCAGGAGGCCCACAATACCCCACCTCTGCCACCGGGCTTAATCTTGGTTCTCTGTTGTCTCAAGGACAGCTCGTTACTGATTTAAAAGTGTGAGTTGTTGGTGACATTTGCTGTCGAAAACAAGCCTATAAAAAGTAATAAACTCCAAATTAAATCTGTCCTTGTACTAGAAAGATGATATGAAAGGACATGCTATGTGGAATAAAAAATAAATCAGTAAGGGTTCATTTTTATATCAATACAGTTTACAAAAGAGATGGTTTAGTAATATTCTTTTTTACTATGTTTTTTGAGGTAGAACATAAAATTCACCCTTTAAAGTGTACAGTTCAGTGTTGTTGTTTTTTTAATATATTTACCATGTTAGACAACCATCACCACTATCTAATTTCCATCCCCCTGAAAGGAAACCCCAAACCCGTTCGGTCGCTCCCAGTTCCTCTCTCTTCCCATTCCCTGGCAAATGCCGATCTCCTTTCCGCTTCTGTGCATTGGTCGATTCTGAGCATTTCCTCTAACTGGATTCTACAGCATGTGGCCTTTTGTGTCCGGCTTCTCTCACGTGGCATCGTGTCCTCAGAGTGAAACCGTGTTGTATATCGTGTCCGCACTTCATCCCTTTTATAGATGGATGCTGTTCCATCCCGTGGCTGTGCCACATTTCATTTATCCACTCGTCAGCTGATGGACGCCTGGGTTGATTCCACCTTTGCTTATTAGAATAATACTACTGTGACCAAATACCAGAGTTCCCGTGTGGACCCATGTTTTCCTTTCTCGTGGGCATTTAGCAAGGAGCGAACTTGCTGGGACATATGGTAGCTCTGTGTTTAACTTCTTGAGAAACTGCCAGACTCTTTTTTCCAGATTACGTTAGTGTGTGTGCGTGCATGTGTTTGTATTCCACTTAATTCTCCTAAAACTCTCTGAGGTTGTTATTGTCACTAAGTGGAGAATCTTAGGTTCAGTGATTTCCTGAAGGCCAAAGAGCGATCAAGCTGAGACTTGAGCCCAGATATTTGCACCCTGAGTTCAGGGCTCTTTCCACAGTAGCACTTACTAAGTGAAGCGAGTCACATCACTGTATTTTTCAGATTTCTTTTTCATGCTATTGTCGGTTTCGCTATCCGCTCTGCATTATTTAAAAAAATTGATCTTAATCATTTCCCTGCTTGTGAAATAGTAAGGTAGGCTCTTACAAAAAGCACACACATTATGGGCCTATGTGATAGGGGAAGCGAACGCTCCACAGAGAGCCTGCTAGCCATCGGGTGGCGCATATTCCTCCGAAATATCTTTCATTGTACAGTAATACACTTTCATAATTATTGCTCTTTGCTTGGCTGATTTAGCCTGTCTGCTGCACATGCTGTTTTGCTACTTGCTTGTTTTCTTCTCACAGAATATCTGGGATGACTTTTGTTGTTGGAACAAGCAGACCTGCCGCCTTCCTTATGAGGTGGCGTCCATGTGTGAGCACTGTGGCCTGCCTACAGAGCCCTTGGTGTCTGGTGAGAGTAATCGAGGCCAGTGCTTCTCAAACTTACTGTGCACTCGGAAGGGTGTCACCTGGGAATGTTTCCGAAATGCAGATTCTGATTCCGTAAGCTCAGGCAGGGGCCCGAGACTCTGCGTTCCTGAGACGCCCCCCAGGTGACGGGGGCCGCTGGTCCACAGCCCACACGGCGCGGTGAGGATCTGGAGGCTGTGGAGAAGCCCTGTGGCATCGGCGCCAGTTTCCCCCTGACCAGCGTGTTTTGCTTTTCAGAACGAAATGCTGGAGGAAGGGCACGAGTATGCGGTCATGCTGTACACCTGGCGCAGCTGTTCCCGGGCCATCCCGCAGGTGAGACCGCCCTTCCCCGCTGGCTGCCTGGCTGCCAGGGGGCACTGCCACCCTCCACCTTACTCCCGGTCAGAGAGCTCAGCTTCTCTAGGTGGCAGGGAGAAGCAGGGCCTCTCCTCCAAGGGGGCATGCTGAAAACATTGGGAGAGTTTCCCATAAAACTGTCGCCAACTTCAAAACATAGTGGTTCAGTATATTTTATTTGGAAAAGAGTATATGCTAACTGACGACACCCAAACCGCTGCAGAAAGGCATAAAGTAAAAAAGCAAGGCGCCCCCACCTCCTTACCCCCCCCCAAACCGACCTCCCAATAGAGCATCATCGCCACGGACATGTTGCCACCTGTTCGTCCGGATCTTTTTCGTTGATTATCATGAATATTTCTATGATTATTATTTTGTAAATAATTATTTACAAAAGTGTGTTGCTTCTTACTTATATTGTTCTGCCACTTGATTTTTACATGTTATTTATTTATTTTTTTAATTTTATTTTTGTTTAAAATATTACAGATGTCCCTTTTTCTCCCCAATGACCCGTTTCCCTCCGTTCCTTCCCCCTCCCCAGTCCCTCTCCCCACCATTGTCCGTGCCCTTGGGTTGTGCATATATGCATATAAATTTTTTGGTTACTCTCTCCTCCTCCACCTACCCGCCCTCCTCCATCCCTCTGACATTCGTCAGTCTCATCTATGCTTCCATGTCATTGAATCTATTCTGCTCTGAAAATAACGTCCATAATAAAGAATAACATGTTATTCTTTATTATGGACGTTATTTTCATGTTGACACATACAGATAATATGTTACCCTCATTACGCTCATCACATAATTCATGAGTCCCATTTTAAAAAAATCAAAGAGGCACAGATGTGTTCCTCTCCCTTCCTCTGATCCCAGCCCCAGGGTAACTACTTATTAATAGTTTGCTTTGCATCTTTCAGATTGTCTATGCCTGTAACATATATGAACAAACAAACGCACACTGTTTTGTTTAACAAAAATGAGATTACGTTACTCTTCCTGTCTTGTACCAGCTTTCGCCTGTCGCTTTATGGTGGCGGTCTCTCCACGTCAGATGACACAGACCTGTCTCATTCCTTGCAGCAGTTACATAATGATACTGAATGAGGGCATCATATTTTATCCATTCAGCCATCGACTGTGGATATTGGGCTTGTTGCTCCTATTTTAAGAATTCCTAAACAACAGTGTGAAGAATGACCGCGTGCTTACCCTTCGCTCGCTCGTCAGTTCCGGCTGCCCTGTTAGCAGTCGCGGGCGTGCGTGCTGTGAAAGCATCTGCCACGTGATTCTGATGTGTTGAAAACCAGTGGGCCGAGCACGGGGGGCTCTCGGTGACCGAGTATGGCCAGGGCGCTCTGCCCCAGGTGTGTCCAGAGCAGCAGACGAAGCGCTTTCTCTGCTGAGGATCTGGCGGGGCCCCTCTAGGATCGGAGTGAGGAAAAGGCTGAAGGAAGGAGACCTTACAGATCAATACAGATGTGTGTACGGCTCCTGGTCATGGTACAGACAAGACTGAAGGGGCGGACAGTTCCGTTCTGAGGACCAGCCGGTTTCTTTCCTGCAGTGTTTGGGGAGCAGTTTTGCCCCCAGGGCTGCCCTAGCCTCCTCTCACTAGGGTGACCTTGTCATTTCTCATCCTAGATGAGGTGCATTCGAGAGTAGAAAAAGGCCCATTAGTAAGGCAGCAGGCGTGAACCATGACTGCCCCGGCAAATCAGGATGTCTGAGACCCCTGTCCCCACAGGTGAAATGCAACGAGCAGCCCAACCGAGTGGAGATTTATGAGAAGACGGTGGAGGTGCTGGAGCCGGAGGTCACCAAGCTCATGAAGTTCATGTACTTCCAGGTGAGGAGGCCGGGTGAACCTGGATCAGGAGATTCGAGAAGACCCCCCACTCTCCTAGACACACGGGTCTGGGTTTGTGGCCATGATATTTATTCATTCATTTTTAAGTGTCCGGGACAGCCCCCACCCTGCGTGTAATTTCCATCGTAGCGAGCACACGATTGTGTTCTGGGCAGGCGGAGAGACTGACAGCAAACAACACACAATAATTCTCACGGCATAATACGTGCTATGAATAAAATAGCATTTTTTAAATCTCTGGGCTGGAGGGCGTCTGCAACATGAGTGCAGCTTTAGGGCCGGCCCCTCAGGAGGTGGCATTTGAACTGAGATCTGTGTGATGAGAAGGCTGGTGTGTGATGATCTGAGGAAGAGGGGGTGTCAGGCAGGAGGAACTGTCAAGGCCAAGGCCCTGAGGCCTGGAGGAGCCTAACGTGTTTAAGAAACAGAAGGAAGCCAGGGAGGCTGCCGGGTGAGAAGGGGGGGAGGTGATAAAAGGTAAGGCCGGAGGGCAGCCAGGGACCCAGTCCTGCAGGGCACCGTAAGCCATGAAGCAGGACGTGAAAAGAATATGTGAATTCTATTCAAGCACCACAGAAGCCCCTGGAGGTTTCTAATGGCACGATCTGGTGTGAGGTTTTACTGCATCTGGCTGCCGTGTGGGAAATGGGTGGGAGGTGGGGGCAGTGCAGATGTGAGAGGTGGGAGGGGACAGGAGTGACAGCAGGGACACCAGCTGGGAAGCCAGGAAGAGTGATCATTTAATGGAGAAAAAGAGAAAAGACAGCCAAGGGCTTTCGAGAGGGCAAACTAGTTTTTAAAAAAATGAGGGCAGCTGGTTAAACAGAAATAACCAAGGAAAATTAAGGCAAACAGGTTGATTGTTATGCTCAGGAATGCAGGCTGAGCGCTTTGAGGCCAGTCTACCCAGGGCGGAGGTCATGCCGCATACCCTTCCCTGCACACGCTCTGCTGAGAGCTGAGCCTCGTACAGAAATAGACTTCCAGGCACTGGCCGAGTGTGCTGGCCTCCTGGGCGGGGGTGTGGTGTCTGGGAAGGTGCAGTGCCTGCCGCCCGGGGCAGGAGTGCTGGCCTCCGAGGCAGAGAGACCCCAGGCTCCCCCACACTGCGACTGTGTGCCTCTGAGTTATTTAGCACCTCTGACACCTTCAGTTTTTTCCCCTTGGAAAAAACACCTATTTCACGGCCTATTTTTAAAAAGCCAAGTGGAGCCCTAGTTACAGAGGAAGTTTAAGACGTTGAGGCTGCTGTTATTAGCATCAAGGACTCTTTAGGAAGGAAGGCCCAAGAAAGACGAACTATCCAGAAACCGAGAAAGGCTCTGAGATCATCGAGAGATGCACTGTTCAGTACAGCAGCCCCATGTGGCTATTTACAGTAATTAAAATTAAATAAAATGTAAAACTCAGTTCCTCCATTGCCCCAGCTAAGTGCTCAGCAGCCACATGTGATGAGTGAGTGGGTCTCGTATTAGTTGTTGTAGACACAGAAAGTGTTGTTGGACTTGGGCTCTGGAAGGAAAAAGTGTCCCCTGGTCTGGTCTTCGCAAGAGAGGAATTACTGGCTGGTGGGTATCCCAGCCTGGGGAGAGGAGAGCATGTGTACGGAGTAACTTATCTCCCCTCCCCTCCGTCTCGTCTGCCTCCCCCCCTTCCCATCTCTCTCTCTCTCTCTCTCTCTCTCTCTCTCTCTCTCTCTCTATATGTATATATCGATTACTGCTTTAGCCTTGTTTCATGATTGTTGTTCAACTGCTTTTATTGGTAACAGATCTGTTGAGATATAATTCACATACCATGTAATTTGTCCGTTTAAAGTGGACAATTCAATGGTTTTTAGTACATTCACAGAGTTGTGTGTCCATTACCAGGGTCAGTTTACAGCATCTTCATCACCCCAAAAAGAAATCCCATTCCCTTTCGCTATCACCCCATTATACCCCCATCCGCCCCAGCTCCAGGCAAGCGCCTTCCCTACCCCTTTTCCCGCTTTCTTTTCCTCAATAGCACATGTCACACTGTAATGTACAGAAGTAGTTTATTTTGTTTTCTGTCTCCTGTCACTGAAATATAAGCCCCTGAGGTAGATTTTATTTTTTTTCAGTTTTGTTCCTTCTTTACTCCAGCGGCTAGAATAGTGCCTAGTACGTAGTAGATACTCAGTAAATGCTATTTATTGGGTGAATGAACCTCTCTTTCTGAATGTCTCTCTTACTCTCTGTCTCTGCCCCCTTATGTTGTGGTGCCTGGCACTGTCCTAGGTGCTGGAATACAAAAATGAGTAACACACTGCTTCCCTGCAAAGGCCTGACGAAGGAATTCACTGGTCCAACTCACTGGGGCGGTGGGGAGAAATCAGCTTTGGATGGATGTAGGGACTCCTCGCAGGGAGGCCTCCTGGCGGATCTGCCTTTCTCTAAATGTCCAGGCTCTGACTAGGGCCCCAGGGGAGCCCTGAGCCTGCTCCCCACCTGGGAGCGCTGTGACCCGCGCCCACCCCGGGCTGCCCCAACCTTACTCATGCCCCCTGCCTGCAGCGCAAGGCCATCGAGCGCTTCTGCAGCGAGGTGAAGCGGCTGTGCCATGCCGAGCGGAGGAAGGACTTTGTCTCTGAGGCCTACCTCCTGACGCTGGGCAAGTTCATCAACATGTTCGCAGTCCTGGACGAGCTGAAGAACATGAAATGCAGCGTCAAGAACGACCACTCGGCCTACAAGAGGTCAGCCCCCCGCCCCCACCCCTCACTTCCCAGGTAGCAGGCCAGGGGAAGGAAGAAGATGGAGCCCTTCTAACAGGCTCCTTCTCCAGAACCAGCCAAGCCACTCCCCACGCACACAGGGAGGGGGTGGGCGGGCCTGTTTTTGCGGTTTGAGGAGTAAGGTACAGAGCTGAATCCTGGGAGAATTGGGTTTTCTGTCTCAAGATGGAATCGGATCCTCACTTCCCTGGCCTGCAGAGCAGCAGTGTCCTCTCTTGTCCCGTAGAGGACAGGACCAGTAGGATCATCATAAAATGGTCACATTAGTCATTCCTGCAAGACTCAGAAAGCCAGTTCATGAAAGATGGGATGGATTGGCTCCCAGAGCTGAAAAGTCCCTGCGTACCTGGATCCGGGTACCCAGATGATGCTGGTCTGCTCCCTCCCCCCCGCCCCGCCCCTTCAGCTCCACTTTTCTCCTCGATATGGGCTTATCTCAGGGAGACCGTGCCCTGTGGTGGCCTCCTTGGGCCCATAGCCTCCCCAGCTTCATAGGAAGGAGAGGATGCTCCTCCTTGAAAATACTTATGCAGAAGACCCAGGGAGGGTTGCCATCGCTCCAGCTAGGCCCTGTGCTAGGTCCCTCATCAGTCACTGTGGTGGGTGGGGGGCTCCAATTGTACAGGTGCTCACCTGTGGGGTCACTTGGGGGTCAGTGTCAGCTCAAGAGAGAACTAAGAATGGGGAAGGGGCCATTTCTCTCCAGAAATCAAGGTACAGCCACTTCAAAGTGGGGCAGGGAGTCAAAAGCAGCAGATTTCCTGTGTTGTCTGGACACGTCTTAGGAAGGATTTCTGGGTCCCTGATGAAAGAGCCCCTCCTCCTGGAACCACATTGCTCTGGGGCTCCAAGGTAACTGGAGAGAGCAGACAAAAGACTGATTCTCAAAATGCTATCTTCCCAAGTGAGCTGTGAACCCTGGGGTGCCCAGCAGGCAAAGCCCCATCTCAAACCTGACTCAGAAAGGGCACCTTTCACAAAGGTTCCCAGGGTAGGCTGGAAAAATCTGGACTGCCACAGTCTCTCCCTTCCCATCCTGCGTGTGTTCCCCACACCCATCGTCCCTTCGCCTACAGTCCCGACAGGTTAAATAGACTTTGGTTTTCTGTGTAATACTTTGCTTTAGAAACATTGAGGTTTTTCAGTAAAGAACATAATACGCAACAAAAACAAAGCATCCTGCCCCGGTTCTGCTCTGTGACTGTGCAGTTCACTAGAGATCACTGTGCGGCCCAGGGATGCTCATTTCAGTCTGTCTTACACCTCTGGCTGGTGGGTAGGATGCTAGCTGCCCTTAAACTTGGAGTCTGAGCTCCAGTGCTTTCTGGCCTCTTAATTTCGAGTACCCTTATCACAAGCGTGTAAACAACTCTAAATGACTCCAGAACATACGCTTTCATTGACATTAGTCACCTGTGATGTCAGAGATGGTTAACCTCGGGGCAGGGTAACTTGGGTCAGGTGGAGTGGGAGCCCATGAGGCCTGTTTAGGCTGGTAAGCTTGAGCGTTCCTCTCTGTCACTCCTGTATTTCAGGGCGGCACAGTTCCTGAGGAAGATGGCAGACCCCCAGTCTATCCAGGAGTCGCAGAACCTTTCCATGTTCCTGGCCAACCACAACAGGATCACCCAGGTGAGGGCAAACTCCATGGTAGTCCTGGCTTGGTGTCCTGGGGCACAGGCAGGAGCCTAGAGGTTGGGTGGACCAAGAGCAGAGGAGCTCAGTTCAGACCTAACACTCCCACTGCCCTACACAGAATTAGGCTGGAGACTGGACTCTGATCCCAGCCACAGACAACCCTTTCACCCTCCCCAAATTTCGTCCCCTGAACACCTCCTCAGCCAGTATCCTGCCCGCACATTAGTGTAGATTGAAAGCATGGGTTCTGGAGTTAAACAGCCTTGTTTCCTAACCCTAGACCCTTCACTGACCCATCGTGCGACCTTGGGCAATGTCTGAGCCTCGGTTTTCTCATCTGTAGAATGGGACTGTTATTTTAAGAATACTATGAGGATCTATCTCATAAGACTGTTGTTAAGAAATAAGTGAAATACTGTACAAAAAGCCCTTAGTATGCAGAACCTGACAAATGGCATGGACATAAAAGATGTAGCTATGATTACTGCCACGACTTGGCCAGGGCACCCCCATTCAGCTATGGCTCTCACACTCTGTCTTATTTTATGTAACCTGTGTTGCTCATCTGTCAGTTCAGCCTAAACAGCAAGAATGCCAGCAGGACCCAGGCTGAATGGGGCCCTCCATCTTCAAAGGGTTTTCAGGTTCAAATCTCTCTCAGGGCTGCAGCCGGCTTCACTGGGCCCTCCCTACTGTTCGTTAAATGCAAAAGGCTGTCAGCTTTGAGGCTCTGGGTTTCTTTCCTGGAGACGCAGCCCCATGTTGTCAGATCCTTGTGGTAGGAGAAATGTCTTTATACTGCTGTGTCCTGCCAGGAGGGAGACTCCTGCTGGCCCCGCTCTCCTGCACTGGGTTGGGTCATTCCCCCCATCATCTGAGGAATTCATGGCTAACTCCATAGCCTCAAAACTAAACTGAGATTACCACAGGCGTCTTGCTGTGAAGCTGAACTGCTTTTCAGCTCAGCCCAAGAAAGTACTTTCTAACCATCAACACTGCCAGAAAATAAAATGGAGGGCCCCAAGGGGAGTAAAGTTCCCTGCCCAGGGAGATGTGCAGGAGCTCAGACCAGCTACTGTGAGGACATTGTGGAGGATGCAGGCTCCCCTCCCCCTGGTGGTCAGCTCCGGAGGCCGAGGGGCCTTTGGTGGTGCGGGTGAGGAGAGTGCAGGAAAAGAGCCAACCAGAGGGGGCGCTGCTGTTTAGTGTCTCCATCAGCAACTGGAAGTGATCCCAGGCTACGAGGAGCTGCTGGCCGACATTGTCAACATCTGCGTGGATTACTACGAGAACAAGATGTATCTGACCCCCAGCGAGAAGCACATGCTCCTCAAGGTACAATCCCTGTGGTCACCCGCCCTGGGGCCCGGGCTCACCCTCTTACCTCCTTATTTAAAATCATTTTTTAAAAATAATATTTATTTTTTCTTGCTTAAACATTTATATAGACCGTGCTGCATATAATGTTTTGTAACCGTTTTTTTTTCCTTTTAATATGTCATGTATACCTTTCCAGACGTCATTACGGATATTTCTGCAATGTAATGGTTAATGGCTGCCGAGTATTCCATTGTATGGGGACATGGTTATTTAACAAATCCCCACTCATTGGATATTTGTTTGTTAAACTGCACTGAACACTCTTATAGCCCAGCCTTTGTGTACATACCCTTGTCAGGTCAAACTTCCGGGAGGAGAAATGACCAACTCAACAGGAAGGCAAAATCTTCCAGCATTTGCTCTGTTTTGCCAAAAATCATCACATTTGATCCATCGATTTACAAGTTTGAGTTTTAAATTTTCAAGTAATATTTCTCATTGTAGAAAATCTGAACTATACAAAGAAGCACACAAAAAATTAAATCGTTCACAATCTTTCCATCCAGAGGTGACACTTTTAGCATTTTAATGTATTCCCTTCCCATTTTTCTCTGCTTAGGTATTTTCAACATATGCAGCATACATAAATTATGCATGTGTAAGCTCTTTCCTTTTTATTAAATGTATTGGAATATTATGCAGCTGATAAATAATGTCATATGGACGAACTTTCCTTTCTTTAGCCATATTTTATTGTTAGCTGCTTAGGATGTTTCTGATTTCTCTCTGAAGCTGTAGTGCTGAAATGAACAACCTCCATATTCTTTGTACACAGGGCATAGCCCCTTTTGATTTTTTTCTTCCCAGAACCTCACCTTTCAAAGGTCTCCTGGTGGTTTTCACTTTTCTTCCTCTCACCCTTGCTGCTCTAAGCATCCCAGGCCCGTTGGAGTTCTTCCTTACACTTCCGTAGCACCGGGACGGAGTCTGCAGGGCTGTGTGACCTGTGACTTGCTCACTCTGGCTTCCCCTGCACAGCCAGAAATCTGGAGAAGGCCCGCGGCCTCTCTCAGCGCCAGTGCTGTGCCCGGACAGCTACCATAGCTCTCCCCAGAATTGCTGCTTCCACAAACTGGGGTACCAATTTCCAGTCCGCAAGCACTCTTAGATGCTGCCGTCGAATTCTCAGACCTCCCTTTTCCCTCACCTGCCTTTAATCCTTAGACACCACAGCTTCTCAGCCTTTGTCCTCAATTTCCTGCATCTTCAATCTGGCCCCAACACTGTTTGGCTCTTGCACGGTTCTGCGGTTTGTTAGTGAGCACAGGTGCCAGTAAGGGGCGCTGTTCACCCCTAGCGGAAAAGTGACACTCACCCCGCAGAATGACAACATGCAACTTTAACAGTCCTCTAGTTCCCTCCGTTATGTGTCCAATGTGACTTACCCATGGTCACATAGCAACTGCGAGCCAAGGGAGGCTCCCTGTATGTTTGACTAAAAGAGCAAAGCAAGCCAGCATTCTGGAAATGATTAAATGGACTGGAATATCAGGAATTTGCCAATTAGGCATTGTTAGGCAAAAAGAAAAAGTTTTTTAAAAGAAAATAAATAAAATCTCCAATGGCTCATTGGGAATCTTTACCTTATTATTGTTTCCTTGGGGAAAGAGATGAATCGTTTTACATTCATTCAATATTTAGCAAGTATTCCTCAAGTGCCTGAGATGTGCTGGACCCCAGGGATGCAGCAATAGCACCACTCAGTCCTCTCTCTCAGGAGGGATCTCAGTACGTACATGTTGTCAGACGGGTCCAGATTCCCATCCTATCTCTGCGGTATACTCACTGTGTGACCTTGGCAAGCTGTCTGACTTCTCTGTGCCTTCAATTCCTCATCTATAGAACAAGTTTATTGTGTTGAACTTGACTTATAAGATTATCATGAGAATTAAGGATAATGCCTGTGAAAGCCCTCAGCACAGGCTCTGACTCATAGTAAGGACTCAAGAAGTGGCCACTATAATCATATACTAAACTAAGGAGCCATCTGCATTTCTTCACAGAAATCAAATTTCAGGTTGAATTTAGACCTATGTGGTCTTTTTCTATTTGAAGACACATGAGTTTTTGTAATAGAATGTATAGCTACAGGGTGTGTGTGTGTGTGTGTGTGGTATGTGCACATGCACAGACCTACTTTTTTGGTTTTTTGAAACTTTTCTGTCAAATGTGACCTACCCCTTCTCACTCCAGGTAATGGGCTTTGGTCTCTACCTGATGGATGGAAATGTCAGTAACATTTACAAACTGGATGCCAAGAAGAGAATCAACCTCAGCAAAATTGATAAATTCTTTAAGGTCAGTGCCTGGGGCTGGGGCTGGGGCTGGGCAGGGGCCAATGGATGGCCTCTCGGGAAAGAAATGAAATTAGCCAGCAAGCAGTGGGGCTTGTTGACTGGGCTGTAGTTCTAAAGGCCTCTGGAAGAGGAAGACAGAATGGCAGGGCCTCCAGCAGCCCTGGGTAGAGGAATCTACGCTAGAAGGCAGCCCTGTGGCATCAAACATGGTTAAGTCTCAGGATTCAGCTGGGATTTGCCTGGATCCTGTATGCCTACCACATTTCCCCCTCCCTGAAATCCCTTGCCATGCAAAGAAAGAGGTTCATCCCAGAAGACAGCGCCTGCTTTTTTTCACTATAAATCAGAACTCACAGAAGCAGAAGGATTAGACTGGATTTTAAACTGATTGACATTTGCAAAATCATAGCCTCTCACCTGCCCACCAGAGGCCAGTCTGTTCCAGTGCCCCAGCGATTTCATCTTCTCACCCCAAATCTTTAAAAATAAAACATTGTGGTTAAGCTAAGCCTTTGAGGTTTCCACCAAGGGATTTCCTACGTTGGAATTGAATTCTGTGTTGTCAGTTGGTTCTAGCATTGGGCACTGCAGACATGGGGTGGAGCCTCAGGGGCCAGATATGGGAATGCCAGGCTTAACATTCAAAACAGAACCCCCTCCCAGGTGTGACATGGGGGACACCAAGCTGGGCCTGAGTCCTGCCAATTCTTTGAGGTTAAGGGGAAATAAGTCACCCAAAATCATCTGTCCCTTGGCTTCTTTTTGAGGCTGGAACTTTCACTTTTCTCCAGAGCTGCTCCAAATGAAAACAGGGCTTATCTCGGGAGACCCTTGCAAAGTCTGTCTCTGCCTCCATCAGCATGATGAGATGGGTGGAGTGGAAGACTAGAGCATCGCTTCCAACGGGCCAGGCTTTAGTCCGACTCTGCCACTTAGTAGCTGGATGACTTTGGGAAAGGTCACGAAACCTCGGAGACTGAGTCCCCCAGCCTCCTGTGAGTGCTAAGGGGGTCTACTTTATAGGGTTCCCTCTAGGGTTCAGTGGGGTTACATAGGTAGCCAGAGCCCTGGCTCATAATCCTGGCTCCT